TGGAAAATTTTTATAGAATGCAATATAGAGGGGAGAAAATTTGATCTTTTCAGTTATCCCCCACAGTAATAGTAAGTACTGCATGGAGAGGGCTTGCCCACTTCAATTTCAGTGATGTTGACATACATGTAGAGAAGGAATAGCACTGCAATAATTTGGAGCTTGGTGTTTTGGTACCATGCAAATCAAATTAATCACATATGTTCTCAATATGGTATGCTGTGCATGTTAATTCATTTTTGATTATAATTATGGTATTACAGCCAGAGGGAATATAATAAGCTCAGGATTCATACAGCTATAAGTAATCTAGATAAAAAAAGCAAATAACGTACCTCCCGCACTGAACAGGTTTTTGGGTTAAATCTGGTAGCTAGAGCAATGTAACGCTTGCTTGCCTAGTGTGTACAATCAAAATAGAGCAGATACATGTATATATTGCCCAGTTACAAGTAACAACAACCAAAAGATGCAGTCAAGAATGTCTCAACATTGTGATTTAAATTACTATTGCATTTTGACAAAAGCAAAACCTCAGTCACACACTGGGCTGGCTTCAATAGTGTTTTTTTTCTGATTCTGTTGGAAAAAGTCTTTGTAAAAACTCAACACACTTTCCGTTCAGCCCAATTGACACTGTTCATATTGCTCAATGAATTAGATTGCTTTACTAATATATACAGCATGTTCAGTGCACCAGATTATCACTGTCAATACAGCTTAAAAACAGTCGGTAAATTTGCTCATTTAATATTGTGCAATAGATATTTTTAATAGTAGCATGATAGAATCCAGTAGTTTTAATTTTGATCCCTTGCAATACAGCAACACACCCCTGTTAAATATACTGGTATCACCTACAGCAGTAAATCAACTTTTATTGTGTGACAGAGCAATGCTTAATGAATGAATTGTTTCAACAAAAGCAAATGCTGGGTTAAAAACACCCATGTGTAAGCTTGTGTTGATGGTATTTTTGCTTTACTTCCATACAATATATGTACAGGTATTCAGTCAGTGCATGATTTAATTTTGTATAAACAACTGTTTTTGACACATGTTGCATATAGAATCCACATCTCATGACGCAGTACTTTAACATTTACTAATTGTAAACATTTACTGTTCCAAAACAAACTGAAATATTAATATTGCCAGACTAAAGACGGATGTGACTAACATCCTTTTGAAAATTTCCTGAAAGTTACTCCCTGTGACTGCCTTTTTTAAAGTTATGTATATACATATAACAGCGAACGACTACTATCATGAATCAAATAGTCTCAAAACATTTAAGGAAATAAAAGTGGCAATTTATAAAAGTAGTATGAAAATTCAATGAAACAAACCAGTTGCTCGGTTATTAAGCATCCCTAAATTGGGAAGCCCGGTGGTCGAGGGGAAGACACGTAGTGACATGAAGCTAGGGGATTAGGTGCCATACGTGTTTACTTTGATTTGACGTACCGATAGTATTTACCATGCCGTTCATCTGTGTTGTTTGTTTACTTTACTTTCTATGTCAGCAGCAACTATGAGTTTAAAATTATTTCTCAGTACTTATTCACAGTTTTCATACTTACTGTCACTGTTGTATTGTTCCAAACACCCAAATTGCCAGCTAGTTGCAGACTATCATATTATATAACAATCATGAGATGTGCAATGCAAACCAGCTGGTAATGTTGCTGTTTAGAACATCTTTAGATGCTCACCAACACCTATCATCTACAATATACTGTTTCATAGTGATTTTTGTTAAGTTCACACATTCTAAAATATTGGTACAGAATTTAAACCAAAGTCATACAGCCATAATAATGTTGTGTCTGAAAAGCATTTCACACAAGATTATTACAAAGAAAATCAGACGATCCTGAAACAACCCAAGTACATGCGAAAGCAATTATTTGCAATAACAAACACTAAGAGTGTGAAAAGGAAACTTCTCGTAATTTTGTCATGGTGTTTGATTGTGTCCTGTGTAAACATTTTGACAATCGCTGGGAATTCCATGACAGGAAACGCTTCTAGTTCTCTTCCACATGTATTATTGGTGGGATTTCAAAATTACGGCCGATATTCGTTTGACAAAGATTTGCAGTTTACTATGTTACGTAAATGTCATTAATTTAGTTTGGAATCATTAACACTGAGAATGTAAAAAAGATATATTTTGACAATTGATTTAGCGGGGCTCAAATTGGCTCAATTGATCCATAGAAAAAAAACGTGAGAAACTACAACACTCTTTGAACATGCACCAAACACAACTGTTATCAATGAACTGACTATAGTTGACCTTCAAATGAACCTAGCCTAAAACACCAAAGAAGTGTCTGGATATACTGGTAGTATGTTAATTCGTTGCTAAATTGTTTGTTGTTTCTTATCTCCATGAACAGTCTCCATGGGCCAATCCGAGACGTGTTTAAAATTCGCCCACAACTACATGAATATGGAGGAAAAACTGACATGGATATAATGGTATTGCAAATGGTGATTAAAATTGATACAGCCCACAATTTTTGCTACCTAGACCCACACTTTAAGATAAGATTATCGATTCTCTGCCATAGAAACCTATGGTTAAAACATTATAATACTGCCAAAATGGCAACTATCCACTAAAATGCAATCATCATTTTCTCAACAATTAGGCAGTGAGCCCCACTTTTTTAAGTCAATATCCTTATATTGACCGAATGTACAATTTATTGGAAAATGAATAATTTATACTGCGTATTTGAAATCACCACCAGTTCCCCCTTTTCATCAAATTCACAAAATAGTCCTCTTTATAGTCTGCACTTTCCTTCAAAAGATTGGGACAAAAAATAGCAGATTTTTTTTAGTAAAAACTGAAAATTGACTCGTATTTTGTCGGTTGTTTCCAAAACTAGGGTTAATTTCCAGAAATATTGATGGGATACAAGAAAGAAGCGCAGAAAAAATTGTGCAAGACGTGGGTGCTTACTTGTCTCGGACTTTCTATACTGATGACCAATTCTACTACACGTATTCATTTCACATGGGTAGGTAGACAGGAATTTTTATTTTATTTTACCGTGAAAAATACGACAATGGCTCCCTACCATATATTCGGAATGCTTATCTGCAGTTCAGCACTTCAGTGAAAAATTGCGATAAACAAAGCAATTTTCCGAGTTTGTGCTTAAAAGCAGCCACAAATAATTCAAATAAAAGGAGTGACTACTACTTACCACTATTCAAATTCAGCAAGTGTCGATTGGGCGCTGTCCCAGTCTGTAACGTAGTTGATGACCAACCACACGCCGATATAACATCTTTTTTTTTTGGACATCGAACGAGTTCAGTGACGACGCACAGGCAAACATTCGACGGAGACTTCCAACGTTCGTCGTGGAAAGTTCGAAAACTGTTGCTGCCATAAAGCAGTATAGTTAGCGGTCACTTGCTTTTTATCGCAAAATGATATTGCAGACTTTTTACTGTCTAAATTATTTTTTGTAAAATTTTGTTCATGCAACATACATGAAATAAAAAGTTAAAATGGTGGCTCTACCATGGGGTTTGATCACACCAGATCGTAACGTTTTGCGACATGTTGCACAATATTCCGAACAGCGCCAGCCCAGGTCAAAACCAGGGTCAAAACACTAGTTTCTTTCAATTTCAACTACCGGTACTTGATGACAAAATCGAAAACACAAAATTATTGAAATTGAGCGACCATGCCAGTTGCTAAACCCTATGGATCATTTCAAAACATTGTTCCAGAAAATAAAAACATTTTGGTGAAAACTAAACCCCAGAAACAAATTACGTCTCGTCCAAGCAGTCATTTATTGAAACGCCCTCTGTGGCAAAACATCACACAACTTTCGTTTATATTTTAATTTATACTGCAGGTTCCGATTTTATTCAACAAAATCTGCCATAACACTATTCTGCAAGTTTACTACCCAATTTAATGATTTGTTATGCATCTTCAGTGTCATAACATAAACTATTTCTGTCCATCAGTATGAAGAAATGTCAAATTCCATCCTTATTGCTGGCAGCATCGAATTCCGCATGTCAAAGTGCTAAATGTTTTTGAAACTAAAATTCTCATTACATAAAGCTCAAGTTTTAGTGCCATGTTATAACTTGAAGCTATTTTGCCAACATAGTGTTATTAACATGCAATAAATGCCACAGCTACGATATTCCAAAGTCATCTATGTTGTGAGTAGCCAAGCAGTTCAGTAGGTTAGTTTGTGATAGAGTTTCTAGCATCTTAGGGCGACATCAAGTCACAGAATGACATGCACAACGTTCTGCTCAAATATCAAAGTTGACTATACCATGAAACAAATGATCAGTGTGAAGCATTTACCATTAATGAAGAATTCAAACATCAATGCATGGTAGGATTTATTGTAGCGAAAACAATCTTTAAACAATGCAAGATGCCAGCTTTCGAACAGTATACTAGTAACTTGTGAAGGCTGTAACTTTAATATTTGTGACCAAGTTACTTGAAGTTGAAAGGGATTTTGCTGGCAATACAATTTTAAGAGAAAATGTAATCTGGCATTGCAACAAAATGGTACACTATTTGGGCAGACATGAACATGCAGCAATTTGATGCCCTGCGCTAATGAAAGCAAGGAAGCACATTTATTTGTTATTACAACCGGTATTTTGCTTGTGTTGACAAGGTACAAATGACCAATGCTGTTTTTTTACATAAACACAATCAGACAGACAAATTAAAATCAAGAGCTGTAGTTGATGTTCTGCATGGCCATACATCACCTCAATCTGCAACTCTCGTCAAGACCTGCGACTAGAAGCTGTCACAGACCAGTTGAAATACAGCTGTTATTGGATTGGTCAACCAACAAGTTCCAAGACAATTTGTAAAGTTAATAGTCATCAGAAATGTACACCAGTGTGACTAAAGCCTCTACCACCATGGAGCTCAAAGTCAAATCAGTCTGGCATACTCGCATAAAGGCACAAATACAAACTATTCTTAGGCAATTGAACCATGTAATAATTGGTTCATTTATTTCAAAAACATGGATATCCTGCACATGCAACATCATTTTCATGGCAAAAACAATCTGTTTTAATATTCTCTAGTTAATATGCAACTGAATTGTGAACATTTGTCCCAAACTTGACAATAAGAAACGAATGACTACTTAACTTACTGATACATACTAACGCAAAATATTTTCAAATTTGATTTCAACTTCCATTTTTCAACACCGTCAGGAAAGCCTTGTACCCCACCCACCCCTACAACATACACTGTACATCATCAGCTAGCTGTTAAAATAAAGCAGGCACACAAAAATGAACAGAACACTGGGAATATACATGAATTCAAACGTATCTACAAGCAGAGCAAATATACAAATTTAGCATCACAGAGTTTCAAACACCTCGTAGTTGTCCTTGTAAACCCCCCCCCCCCACCTTAATTCATCTGACACATCCCTTTCATAAATTACTAGAGCAAATAGGATAAAAGTGATACCATGATACTTCATGCCGGAGGTAGGGTTTAATACAAGGAAAACTAGAGCAATATAACAATGAGCACTTCATACATGCGTTTAATAAGACTGTTCAAAAACATTCTAAAGTTTCAGCACATTTTTTTTAGGTGAACATCAACCAAGCTTCAAAACATATTTCCAAATTGTAGTTGATATACAACATGTTCCACAAGTCTTCTTAGCACAGTAACCTGGAGTCAAAACTTCTATAATTTTAAATTCATAATCTCCAGTGACGTTTCAATAACATCACATGAAATACTTGATAAAATGTTTGGCCTGCACCCCAAACACGAGCAACAAATTTAGGTTTATCATCTATATTTAAACAAATAATAAAATAAACTGTGGTTACATGAATGCAGCGTATAAAACATTGCTAGTCAAAAATAGTGGTTGTATCATTCATTACTTTCAAATAAAAGAAAGCGCATTTGTTTAAGGTTGACTATTTTAATTGGATAACAAATGCAGATACTGACATCATTGTCCATAAAAATGTTCCTGAGCAACAAAGCATTTCTGTCGGTGCATTATCGAATTAAGATCCCAAAATACTCAAAAGGCTAAGCATGAGCTTTGGTTTCATTAAATTTAAAATTGAAGGTGGTCGGTGCCTATTTATAATGTTGAGAATACATGATTGAAGCATGAATAATACGTGTCCAAATGTTGGAATTTCAAGTCATGTTTTATTAAAGCAATTGGGAGTATTCTAATCTAAGTCCATGTGGTCTTCCTCCTTGGGTGCTGAATCCTCCTGTGGTTGCGATGGTTGAGCATTTTCTTCTGCTGTGCTAGGCTCTGCGTCTTTTTTCTTATCCTTTTTTTCCTCCTTTTTTTCTTCTTTCGGTGGCGGTTCCACTTTTGGTTTAGGTTTGTTAATGATGGGATTGCACGTTGATTCTAAGCTCTGATGAAAAGATACCAATGAAAAACGTATGTGAGTGAAACAAGATCCAGTGAATAAGTACTGAAAAATAATTGTAAACTCATAGTTGCTGTTGACATAGAAAGTAAATACTACGTCAAATAAGAGTAAACGCGTACTGCATGCACGACCAAACTAGTG